TAATTAATAAATTACGCTTAGAATTAATAACCTTAATGAAATCTTTTATAGCAATAATTTCAACCGAGGGACCAAAGCAAATTAATTACTTCAGAAAAGTCAAATTTTATTTGTTCATCACATGTTTGACATTGTGTATCGGGCACATTGAAGACTATTGTTGATGTATATTCTTGAAACAATGGATACAAACTGTAATTTCTGCCAAAATTTGGGAAATTTTGTAATTAACCCTTTACAAAATTATTTAAGAACTACTCCATGTCTATGGAGACTTTGCTCAATCTCTCATCTTTGCATCTTCTTTGATCCCCTACCATTGACTCAAAAACATCCAAGAGATTGTCCAATCCTTCAAGATCATTCCCCAAAGCCTTCAAGGCATACACGATGCTTTCAATTGTGGACAGATATCCTTCCTTTGGCTGCTGCCTCACTTCACTATACAAGCTCATCTTCTCTACATCCAGCCTCAAATGTGGCAGCATCTTCAACCAAGGATTCTCACAGTACATTCTCAGTGCCTTTGCCCATGTCCCATCCAGAACAATCAAGTTCTTCGCTTCAAAATTCATTGCCTTAAGGAGACTGGTATCTACTGCCTTTTCACTAGGGAAAAGAAGTACTGATCCGGGAGGAACCTCAAGTGCAAACTCTTCATGCTCCTTTGCCTCCTTGCTCCACCAGCTCGGTTTCTCCTTCTGGAATTTTTTCACCACAAACCCTTTAGCCAGGGCCTTCATCACTTCCTCTGAGCCCAAGATGCCATCAAAGCCTTCTGCCTTCAAATGAGCTTCCCCCATCCAAACATGGTAAACATCACTAATGACACCATATCTACCAATTGTAGCAGTAATTACAGGCTGCTGCTCACTTTGATCACAATCCAGCACCAAAAGCTTATCAACTAAACTACGACTACTTCTGCCACCCAAAATAGCTTCATTTGACATAGACACATCCAAAATCACATCTGTATCAAATGAACCCTGTTTGACAACATTTCTAGACTCATTTTCTACCCCTACAGTTAAGCCATTACTCATCAGAAAATCGGAAGGATCCCCAAAATTTGATCCTCCCAAAGACATTTGAATATTTCTATCATTTCCCAAACTACATTCTCCATTACAAGCAATCATATTACTGCTTTTCTCTATATCATCGTCTATGCAATCAGTGCTATCTTCTTCTGGGCAATTCATATTTCCCCTAAACTCAAAATTACTAACTTCCTTTCTTATTAAGCTAACCGTATCAAGGCCTGAACTTTCCAATCCATTTCGACTGAAAACCGATTCGGGTCGCTGTTCAACCAACCTAATTTCATTCCGGGCTTCATAATTAACATCAGAAACCGTAACCACAGTCAGATTCTTGAGCCCTAATTTTGCAATTCTAGCAGTATTAAGATGGTGCTTCTTCTCTAAACTATGTTGAAGGATGGTTACACTTACCGAATTGTCGAGGCAAGGGTTCCGAATGCGGCAGCAGAGGCAAACTCTGGCGGGTTTGGAGCACGCGGGGCATATGGGTCTCTTGGATACTGATTCGGTCACCGCCATTTTCAGATTGGTCGTAGGCCGGCGTCTATGGCGTCGAAGAGGGCTGAGAAGTGGAGTGAAGGGGTTGTTCCGTGCAGGAAATACGATCCCGGTCCGGAAATGGTGCAGCATTGATGGAAAGTGTGGATCGTTATTTCAACCTATTTATGGGTCAGCGACTCAGCATTCAGCAGAGAACGAAGAAGAATTCCACCCAAAAAAAAAAAAAAAAAAGAGAGAACGAGGAAGAATTGTCCTAAAAAAAAAAAGGGGGATTGTTCAGGAGGATTTTAACGACGTCGCTTTGGAAATAGAGGACATAAATGATAAATGAATACATCTTCAGTTCAGACTTGCGGAATATATGTGAGGATGATGTGATTGCCCACCAACAGTTATTAATAGGTTAAATCTTCATTTTGGTCTATAAATGATTGTATGTACCTTTGATTTAGTCTTTAAACTAAAATTTTTTTTGATTTGGTCCCTAAATTATTGTACAGACCTCGATTTGGTCTATACTGTTTATAATTTGGCTTAAGTTGGTCCTTAAACTATTGTATAGACCTCCAATTTGGTCTTTACTGTTTACAATTTCACTCCAATTTGGTCCCTGAGCAATCAAGTTGGGCTAAATTAGTAAATAGTAAGGATTAAATTAGAGATCCATATAATAGTTTAGAGATTAACTCGGGTCCGTATAATAATTTAGGGACTAACTGAGGGGTTGGTATAATAGTTCAAGGATCAAATTAAGAATTTTTTTAGTTTAGAGAGCAAATAGAAGGTTTATACAATAATTCATGGACCAAAATAGGAGTTTAACCTTATTAATATTAGGTTAAATACTTTTTTTTTCTTCACTATTGA